AAAACATCGATACTATCGATAGTGCCATCGATAGTTTTGCACCTCTACTATACAAGGCGGTTTTACTAGAACCTTTTATGGATACGCCTTGTATTCTTCGTTTTTTATATATAGGAAAAAGCGTACTTTCTAAAACTTTATCGATACGCAGTCATATCTCAGTGCTGCACAATCGATCAATTGTTGTCGACATTATTTAAAAAGTATAGTGGCAACGCTGATTGGCTGTCAAAACGACCCAATTGTTCCGTGAGCTGAAAAAAAAAATCATTCCATACTGCCGTTCAAGTGAATTTTAGGGAACTGGTATTAGTCAGAACTTAAATTTTACTCAGTTAATCGTGTAGACGGCCCAGAGTCCGCGATTACAAATTTTATTCTAATTAAAGCTTATATCTTCGCACTTCTCGCCAAATCAAAATGTCTGAACGTTTTACTTTCGGAGGTTCTTTGGCATCGATAACATGTCACGCCTGGAACAAAGATCGCTCACGTAAATATATCAGTTAAAAACATATTAGTCATTCACTTACGATTTCAACAATCTTTGCTTTCATTAACTACAGAAATCGCGCTTTCGCCCAATAGCAATGAGATCCATATCTATAGTCGGGAGCGCAATGATTGGAAGCTTTCGGACGTGTTAAATCAACATGATTTACGTGTAATGGGCATTGATTGGGCAAAGAATACGAATCGAATTGTTAGCTGTGCTGCAGATAGGAATGCGTATGTTTGGTCACAAGCCGACGACGGCAAATGGAAGCCAACATTGGTGCTATTACGCATCAATCGCGCTGCTACTTGCGTTAAATGGTCCCCAGCAGAGAACAAATTCGCTGTTGGCTCCGGTGCCCGATTGATATCGGTGTGCTACTTTGAGTCGGAGAATGACTGGTGGGTGTCTAAGCATATAAAGAAGCCAATTCGCTCAACAGTCACTTCGTTGGATTGGCATCCAAATAATGTTTTGCTTGTGGCTGGCTCAACCGACTACAAGGTAAGGAAGTTTTATGTCCCGCACTTATCGTTGATAAAATGAAGGAGGACCTAAGTGAAGTTTTTTTCGTGATAGAGGTTTTTGCATTTTTAAGTAGCTAAAGCTAAATATTGCATTTACTATGAAAAATTTCACCTGCGGCCTTTCTGCATTTCATCCAATAATGTGCCTTGCATTTCGTCAACGAATAATTTTGAAATTCCCATATTAATTCCTAACTTTTTCAATATACATATAATCTAGGTTCGCGTATTCTCAGCCTACATTAAAGACATTGAGGATCAGCCTACTCCTACACCTTGGGGCAACCGCATGCCACTAGGCAATCTAATGGCTGAATTTAAGAATTCTTTAAGCTCTGGAGGAGGTTGGATCAATGATGTAAGCTTTTCGGCTGATGGCAATAAAATCTGTTGGATTGGTCACGACAGTTGTATTAATATTGCGGACGCAACTAATGGCAATGCTGTTGTACGTTGCAAAACTCAGTATTTACCATTCCTTTCTTGTGTATGGATATCGCCAGTTTCTATAGTTGTGGCTGGCCATAGCTGTGTGCCACTGGTGTATACCATAAATGAAAATTCAAAATTGGTGCTTACTGCAAAATTGGATAAATCACAAAAGAAGGAGAGTAGCGGTATATCTGCAATGCGCATTTTCCAATCGTTGGATCGTAATTTAAGGACTGAAAATTCCGATACTAGCGTAGATTCCATGCATCAAAATGCTATTACCTGCATTCGGTTATATGAGGGCGAGAAGGAAAATGGCAAAAAAATCAGCACATCTGGCGTTGATGGCCAACTTGTTATATGGGATCTCGATACTGGACTCAATAATTCCATGAACAACTTAAAAATTTAAGCTTTAAAGGCCAAATTGTATTCTATGTGTACTTTTGTTAAAATATATCAAATTTAATAATTCAATTTTTAATGATTTTAATTCATTACAAAGTTGCCAGTATATATTGTTTCTTTTTTCTTCTCGATATTTGGACTGCACCGTAGTAACGTAATCGATTTTAGCTGAATTTTGTAGGTCATATTTTATTATATTCAGTGGATTTCGGATAAATAGCGATTTTTTCGCTTGCAAAGAGGGGAGTGAACAACATTCACAGTTACATGAAAAATTGCCAATGAAAATTATGGAACTCAGTTTTAAGGAAAGGGAAAAATCTTGCATCATTTAAAAATTAAAAAAAGTATGTGATACAAAGCACTTTTACATTTATCCAAAGATAGTGGTGGCCCCTCGGCAGGCAATGACAAACCTCCGAGTGTATTTCTGCAATGAAAATACAATCTTCTCATAAAAATAGAATCGCCTTTCGGGGTCGGCGTAAATCTGTAGGGGACCTTTTATGTGACAACATCAAGACGCGCGCCGTAGCCAGATTTTTTTTTTTCGGGAGAGGAGTGGGGTTCTGACAAAATAGTTTTTTTTTTTATTTTCACTTTAATTTCAATATAGATTGATTAAAAGAAACATAAGTACTGATAAAAAATAGTTGATTGAAATTTTTCAATAGAAGATTGCTGTATTGTACCAATCTTTTGACGAGAAAAAAAAAAATTTGTCCCAAATTTTTTATTTTGTACCAATAGCTCAATATAAAAATGCACAAATCTTTACAAATGAACCCATCGTGTGACACTGCCTTGGAAATTTATGCAATTTAAAGAAAAAAAAAAGTTCAAAAAATTTTCGTAAAAATAACGAGTTTTTATTTAGATTCTGAGTATCCAGTTTTGTAGCCCATTAAATTCTAGTACAAGTTTCAAATGGCTAAAAATTACGGTTATTTTTTTAGAATTTTTAAAACAGCTCGAAATTTGTACGAAAGTTTGTTGAATTTTTTCAATATTGCACAAAGTTGGAAACTTGGATTTACACGGGTTTCGTTAAAGAATGAACTATATTTTTATAAAGAAATAACCAAAATTAAATAACAACAAAAATAATATGTTAAAACTTGGCACAAAGTGACCACTGCATATTTTTTTATATATCTGTAATGGTATGGAATAGTCAGGGACTGTAACGGTTATAAGTTTTATTATAAAAATCACTTTTTAATCGTTATTAACTGAGTTTTATTTTTTGCTCGGAAAATAATGGTTACGTTTTAAGTTTT